GTTCAAAAAATCCAAATTGTCATGCATTTGCTTCTGCATACAAAACTTTAGTTTTGAATAATTTGGTGTCCACCCACTCACCAGGATCGAACTGCGAAGAGGACTTCACAGAAGAAAGCTTGTCATCAACCAAAAATTTCTTTGAGAGTGCCATTGCTTCAATGCCTGAACTTGACAACCAAATTGTCTTAAGTGCTGATTTGCCTCCTACACTACATAATTTATCAATGACTACTTATTTCGTCCGCGGACAAGCTCAAAATTACATTACCGGATTTATAGTAAAAAAATTAAACAAAACTGTTTTTTTAAATTTTCAAAAATGCTTTGTACAGAAAAGGTATCCGAACATCATTCATTAATAACTGCTCGAGAATATCAATCAAATCCAACTTTAAAATACCCATCATCCACATTATGTTCAATAGTTCAACAAATCATAAGTTTTGTTGGAGAAAAAATGTCAAATGTCTGTCTTCATCCTAATATACATTCAACTCTGACTAATGCCTTAAATCAACAATTAATTTTCCCTTTTGAATTAAATTGTTTGGAACACAAAGATCTTTTCCGGCTGAACATAATTAAATTTACAATTAAAATGATGATACAACATTACTGTACTGAAGTAAATAGAATCCTTCTAGGAAAAAGGCAATTGCAAGACAATGAGACTGATCCTATTAAAAAATTGGCCTACACGTGGTATTTAAAGCACTCTAAGACCAGAAAAACTCGGGGAAAGTATAACTTAATTTAAAGTGCATCAATTGATTTTATTTTAGTGTTAAGAGGACGCAATAATTGACAACTTTATAAGTTTTAGTTATATTATTTTATATTTATTTTTCATTTATATTTATTCATGTAATACCTTATTAATTATATTTAATATTATAACTAATCATTTTATAATTTATTTTTTGTGTATTAATTAAACTATATCTACTCAACAGTACATAATTACAATTGGTGATATTAGGATAGTTATTTTTTAATTTTATAATCATATGGAATTGTATTTTACTTTATTGTATTGAAATAGGTTTAGAAACCTTAAATTTATTATTTATTTACTATACAATTTATTATTTACCTTATATTCATTTATTTCATTTATGTAATAAACAGTTGTTTGTTTAATAACAATTTAATAAAAAATGATCTCTTATAAGAAAATAATTTATTATTATTTCTAAGTTCCTTACCTACAATTTTATTTCTAGAGGAAATCATCGATAGTAATGGTAGTTAATTATCGATAAGCTATATAATCGATATAACAAAAATTATCGATGGTAGCGCTGTTTTAGTTTTGTCGTACAACCACCGGGAGCGCTGTTAAACGGTTCATTTTTATAACATGGGAGTTGCCTATCTATTCTATATACTTATCTATGATCGTCACCGCCCGCCAAGTTCGACGTGTGCTGCAGTGTCAGTATAAATAAATATGTTTTTAATTTTTGGCATTAATGTCTTTTTATTTTGTTTTTYTTCCCCTGAATTAACCACTAACGCCATCAATGCTATATAAACAAGTATCTTTATCTAGTATATAATACAAATAGGGAATGTTTCTACTTTACCGGAAACCCTTTTTTTTTGCATTTTTTTAGGTGGACTTAGTCATTTTTTGGCTGAAAAAAACGTTAGTGAAATCAGAATTTGGCGCACGAAGTTAGTTTCGTAGTTATAACCAATTGAAATTTTAACATTATATAATAGCCCTTAAATACCTATAATGCCATGACTAAGTGGTGTTTAATGATGGCGCAATGGTAACAACGCATTTTCATYAGCTCAGTACCGAGAGATCGATCCCGTCTCACCCAAAATATTGTTTACACTTTTTTTTWAAAAAAACGAAAATTTTACAATAATTGTAATATTATTTATCATTAACATATTTTCTTTTTTTAAAACAGAGCTAACAATTAAATAACAAAATTATCAAGTATAGTGGCTCCCTTCGCYTACCGGCTCCAGCCGCCGGTAGGCATTTTTATTATAAATTAAATTAATTTTGGAAATATTTATCAAACCATTTTAGTTATGAGGCCTGAAATTTATATTAAACAACTTGTAAAAGATTACAGTTCCAAGCTTATATTATTCATCATTTTTATTATTTTACACTTTGAGTTATTAATCATGTTGTTGAAAATATTTACAATTCATTCTTTTTAACTATACAATATTAATTGACTGTGATAATTAAATATAAGTAATACAATGATTAAATAATATATATTATTTTATGAATAAATAAATATAATATATGTAGGGTGTCTCTTATTTAAAAACACCACTTGGTTTCACACATATTATCATATAATAGAACTTAGTTTAGTGTTATATTTATTCATTAGATTCTGATTTCACAATATTTAATTGTATAATATTAATAGCATATACATTTTTTCAGAGTTTCTAATTTTCTAACAAGAAGTCCAAAATAAATATGGATTAWTGGGATAAATAAATAAACCTACAGTATATTTTACAATTAAAACTCAATTACTTGAACTTAAACATTGTCTTCCAGTTGTAATTTGGATAATTGTATTTCGATTTTTTCTATATATCTCGAAGCATCTTGCTACTTAATAATCTTCAACATAAAAACATATATTTAACAAATTTTWTACTAATATGGTACAACTTTATATTATGTAAATTATAAAATAATTACCAATTCCTCATTTAACTTTTCAATACGATTTTTTAACAGCATAAATTCTGATTCTAAAGTTATTGATGCTTGCTGTGATACCTTTAACTTGGTTCCAAATTTTTTTTCATGGGTTTCCTATACATGATTTTTAATTAGTATAGTATTTAAGGTACCTATGTACATTAAATAATTATAGYGGTTAGTGGGTTAAAGTTAATTTTTTAAGTTACTGTTTTGCACTCGGGATTTTGAACCTTCTCTGCCAACTCATTATTATCTATCTCCAAATCCTTAACTTTAAGAATCTTCAAATTTAATTGGCGGTCTAGAGCTGTATTTTTCTAGAAATTAATTAAAAATTATGTGTTTTTATTATTGGGTGTTGTAGCTTTTAAATTTATTAGTATTATTAACTACTAACTAGTAATTAAATGTAACTAAAATAAATATTGTATTTTCAATATAAAGATAATTACTTGTTTCAGTTCTTCGTGTACATTTATCAAATCCTTGCTTTTCTKTTCATATTTCAGGTACTTTTTGAATACAATTTCTTTGTCATCATTTTCAGACACTGACCCGATTTCTGACCGTTAACACCGATGCATTTTATTATAGATTTTAATAAATTTATAAATTTATTTGAACATTTTCTAAGATCAGTTAGAACTCAACTGACTGTTCTATACTGCTTTAAATTATTTTAGTTAAAAATATCAGTAATTATCAAATTAACAACTTTAAAGGTTTCATCAATGGAGATTTAAAAGGTTGTTATATAATAAAAATATCTAATATTATTTTCTTGGGGATCAATAATTTTACAAATTCTTCTTATTTTAATATAATCTTTAATTATGTGTTAAATAGGTAGATTAGATTACTATAATTTGATGTATTTGTGCACATATATGGTATACAAATGTGTAATTGCAATTAAAATAATCTAAACAAAAATATAAATTACGTAAACCATCATTATATTTTTAATATTATTTTTTTCTTTATAACCTACCTAATTAGTTTTTGACATAAATATGATACCAAAGGCTGTGAAAGGTTATACTTTGTCTATTTCTACATCATTATTTTTTTTTGTAAATATGAATATTCATACTTACATTTAATTGTCTTATTCATTCTTATACATTTGTATATTATTTTCATTATTACACCTTTTTTAAAGATGTCTTATACTAATAAGGAAAAAGCTGATATGTTGACATATTATGACAAATGCTAGGACTGCAGCAAGGTAAACAAAGGTATATTTTTAAAATGTTGTCAAATGATAACGGTACTGACAGAAAAATTATTTTATTTCTTTAGGATGTACAATACTCTATGCAGATCGCCAACAGMATCATTTTATTTATTTCGGAAAACTTTTTAAAAAGATTGAAATATATGGTACATTTATACAAACCTATTTATTYCTTATTTTTTTTTTTAAATTATGGACGATGTGATTTATAGATGATAACTATTTTTTATGTGGAACAGYTTATTTAAATATTTGCATGAGTATTTGACTAAAACACATGTTAACGTATAATGACGTTATTACGTTAATGAAATAACAGTATTACACAGAACAATAATGGTAAATGGTAATATTTATGATATTTTTATAAAGCCAGGTTGGAATAATTTTAATAATAATTTTTTGATATTTGCAACAATGTTATTCCAACATGTTATCAATAATATTAAATTTTGGAAGAAGTGTTCTACGCCCGTGTGGGAGATCTTTGTAGGACCTAATTAAAGGCCCGCAAGCTCCCCACCGCGTCAAGGAGGGTCCGTCGGGAGAGACCTAACCTAACCTAACCTTTTTTTTTTTACCAAGCACCAAGCACCTCAGGAGGGCCGTTAGGTAGTTCTACTCCCGGGACACCGCGTACATCGTTTATTCAAAACAAAATACAAATTACAATTAATGAGCAGCGGTGGGCTAATCTCCCACTCGATGGCTCTTACGGCAGCTATGTAACAAGGTGGGCGGGGCTCTATACCTCGAATTGCCGTTCGGGCCACAATAAAATACTAAAATAGTTTCCAGCTGGCGTWCACCTCTTTGGATTCCTCCGCCTCTTCCTTGGCCATCATTACACTAGAGGAAAAGTTCACCACTGCTTCCCAGTCTTCCTTACGGCTCAACATTCTGGTGACCATGGATTCCGGACTGAATTCCCCAAGTATTCGGCATATTTTATCACGCTCCCGATTCCACTGGTTGCACTCAAACATTGTGTGTTGCGATGTGTCAGTGATGACAACGAGGGGTCAGCTCCTTTTCGATCTTGTGGAGGAAGATCCAAAATCACCCATGTCCACTTAACATCTGCGTAAGATGGAAAGACAGATGTCCATTTCTCCTCCTGCACCATCCTGCCACGTCTTGTATTAACGTTCTCGTCCAAGCACCCTTGGTCTTGGTTCGAATACGTTCACTCCGTTGCTGAAGAGTCTGTTCACGCAGATGTACCAAGACCTCCGGGTAGTCGATCTCGAGCGATCTACGATTGTAGTGCGCCAAGGTTCTTTCAGCCATCAACAGGTCGATGGGTGGCATTGCCACAATTATGTTTGCCGCCGCATACGACACCGTGCGGTAAGCACAACTGGTACGCAGTGCCGTTGTGCTTTGGGCTTTCAACAGGGTATCAATACGCTGCCGGCTACAGCACATACCAGGGTCTCATACTGGAGCTCCATAGAGAATCACTGAGTGAACAACACTAGCAAGAAGTCTTCTTCTRGGATCTTTCGGGCCTCCTACGTTCGGCATAAGTCTGCTTAGCGATTGCAGAACCCTGCTGGCTTTATCAGCTACGGTGTTGACGTGTGGACCATGCAGAAGATTATCATCGACTACGATTTCCAGGTGTTTGATCTGCCTTTTCAGTGATACATCTGAGCCGTTCAGAACAWCTCGCGCAAGCTGGTATTTGTATTTTATTTTGAACACAATTGCTTCAGTTTTCTCTGYAGCTAGCGAAAGATTCAGCCCATTAATTTTTCTAGCAGTTATGCACAGAGCGCCAATCTTCTTATCTGCAGCTGCACACGTATCACCCCAGGAGACTACAAAAGTTCCGTTCAGCGAAGCCGATAAGCGTACTATCAGCCGGTAGGGCCAGCCGGAGCACCTGGTTTTACGTTATGTCCCACAAAAGGGAGCTGACGACCGAGCCACACATTCCAWCTTGCTAGGGCCGCCAGTAAATCGCTCCAGTCGATCGAGTTAAATGCGTTGCGGATGTCCAAGCTGACCTCAACACGCATTTTCCTCCAATTCATAGCTGAAATCACCATCTCCCGCAGTGCCAAGGCTGCGTCCACTGTGGATAGGCCCCTTCTCATAATGCGCCKTTGACCGTATACGTTGTTATCTTATTGCCACCTAATTCTACTCGCATATGCCAACTATTGGACGTGGCATTCTTYTGGACAGCTTAAAAAGAAATGGAGAGATATTTTATTTGTGTGGAAAAGTTCAAATAGAGACGTGGTACCTAAATCTCAATTTCTTGGTCTGTTAAAATCTACAATTGAATCGGTTTTCCGAAGACATTCAAAAGGCTTAAAGCTAACTACTATCTTAAAAAAACAATCAATGTTTGAAGAGAAAATTTGCGCATTATATCTTATATCACTCATTGTTTTTGATATCATGGTATAAAATTATTATTAGTTATTATCTACGTAGGTAACATGGAGGCAATCAACATAATGTTAATTACACAGATATACTTATACTAGATAGCCGTCATCTCGTTATTAGTGAAACACGCCGCCATATGTAAACTGCAAAGTACGAACTAARATAGTATGGGACAGCGCTCACCAAAGTAACATGACGCGTAATATGACAAGTGACGTGTTAGTTACAAGTCATTCATAACATTTTATTTATAATTATACGGGGAATCACGTTATCGCGCTCACTGATCTAATCTGACTAAACATGTCAGACCACGAGTCAWTTGTATGTTGCCTGTCATTAAGAATAATACCGCATGAACTACTATTTGTCACTCGTCATTTCGATTCTTTTGTGTCCGCATATTATTTAATTTAAAAATAAATTTAATTTAATATATTACCATAATATAATATTACAATTTATAACGATGAAAGGCGATCCTGAATTTAATATTAAATTTGTTGCACTGGTTGAAGAACATTCGTGTTTATATGACCATCATCAGGCATATTATTCAAATAGGACCAAACAGGATATAGCTTGGAAAATATAAGCCAAAAAGTTGATGGAACAGGTTAGTTTTTAAAAAAAATTTATTAGTTAATCAAATCAAACAAATACTTTATAATTAAATTTTAGATAAAATTTATAAATTTTTCATAAACTATTTTATCTAAACAATATAGTTATTTTGCCATGGCAACGACCCATATGGTTTTAAAAAATAATTACATAGTCTATCTCTTGATAAAATTGCAAAATTCGATGGTCTAGTTCTACTTCTGCTATTTTCGGGATCATCAAATTGTACCCCACTACTATTTTCAACAGATGCTCGTGGTTCTTGTGAAGTAGAATATACACCATCATGAGTACGTATAAAATTATGTAATACACAGAGCTTTAACCAATGTGTCAATTTTTTAAATTTTACGGTTTATTGGACTTTCTAATATTCTGAACTTTGACGTCATCATCCCCAAAAACACATTCTATAGATTTACGTCCACGTGAGAGTCTAAAATTGAACAAAAAAAAGGTAGGTAAGTGGATACCGCTCTGCTGTCATTGTAAAAAGAGTCAATTTTAGATTGTATTTTCAAAAAGATAATTATTATAACATAATCTAATAAAATTTTAAGTGTATTATAAATAAAAATAATAATATTTTTTATTTATAATACACCAATATAAGTACAATAAATGTTTTAAATTAAACTAAATGATTAAATGTTTAATGAACTTAAATTACCTGTAGTTGAATATGCGTTTTTCATTTGTTAATTGTCTCCTTGGGTAAGGTCTTAATAAATGTTCTACCAAAGGAAATGCCTCATTCGCAACAAAATAATATGGGTAAGGTAATTCATTTTCTTCTCCCGGTAAAGTTGATGGTTCAGATAAATCCAATTCTTTTTATAGTAACTTCTTACCAAAAGAACATTCCTTAAAAACTCACCCATCACTATTCCGGCCATACTCTCCGTCATCTATTGTTATAAATTTTCCGTCTGCGTCTGCTGTTGCCATTAATACAACCGAAAAGAAACCTTTATAATTATAAAATGCAGATCCGGAGTTTGCTGGAGCTTGGATACGTAGGTATATGTTTGCCGTGAATGCTACCGACACAGTTTAGTAAATCCCAGAGTTCTTGGTAACGTTTAGTATGAAATTGCTTTCATAGATGAATCACCAGCAAAGTATCTAAATTGTAAATAATAAAAATCATTGTGTACATTTATGAATAAACCTATTAAAAATGTATTCATTTTCATAATCCAGATTTAACTGTTTAATAAAGAAAATGTATTTAAACTATAATATTACAATAATAAATATTATAGGTAGTTTAGGAAAATGAGAATGTTTGCAAGATATGTTTGTATGCACTTGTAACGATTTACAGATTACTGACTCGTCATTTATGTCGCGCTCGCCGATTTAGCTTAGGTTAACAGAACACAGGAACGTAGAATACGAGCATATATGTATATTATTAAATATAGTCAGACAGTCGAGTCTAAACCACGGTCGTCTCAAAACACACATTGAAGCCTACCTTGTAAAAATCATTTAATATTTGTTCAGCTCGTGCTCCGCTATTCCTGTGATCTTCAATATACTACCCTCAAGAACAGGGTTACTCAGTTGATAGTGTGCTATATACTATAGATATTATTCAGTTATWTAATAAATCTTGTTTTGCGTTACTATATCGTGTTCCATTGTGTTAGTCTATGAACGCAGGTCATAAGTTCCTAGGATCTGTAAAATATAACTTAGGAAACTTTATTTGTATCGATCCAACAACCCGGTTCGTGTAGTAGGAATAGCTA